AGCGGTCAGCCCGGCGATTCTCTGACTCAGAAGCCCAAGTGTTGTGCACAGTTAACTCCGGCTGTAGCTACGTGGCTACCTCCGTTAGCTTAGCTCCCACCTCCGTGTTAGCTTTGGGTTAGCTTGTAGCTACATCGCTTCAGTTCGACGGGTGTCGTCATTTCATCCCAGCCTTACAGCCCCACCCTCAGCTCCACCTCTTTTCCCTTTTTTGGAATTGTCTGGGCTTGACGGAACCTGTGACACGGTCAAAATGGCGGTGATGGCCACCTCCCATTTTGGCACAAAAACTTATAATTGGAGCCTATGGACACGAATTGTCCAGTATATATGTCGATGATATAAACACCAGTCAGTCACAGTAGCTCATGTTAGCAAACTAAAAAATGGCTGATTCAGTCCTTTTCACAAAAATGCAGCTAAAGTAATTCACCATGTTGGAAGGGTAATCTGTATATATTTAAAATCACATAGATTAGAAAACTATTCGTTTCGATCCATCTCTGCTTCCCGCGGATGCTCTTTCTGCTCTCGGCTCTCTGGGACGTTTTTCTAACATCATCTTTTCAGGTCAACTTCTACCTGACCAATACATCCCTACAATATAACATAATGGTGAATTATAACCGCTTTCATGAATTTGTAAATATAACAAATAAATCCAGCTAGTCAACTCTTCTAACACCAAACCCGTACTTCAGGGATCTTAGTTTAAAAGTAAAGGTTTGAACGATATTGATGGGTTTTTTTTTGGGGGGGGGGGGGGGGGGGGGGGGGGGGTTGTAGCAGGATGTGTGTCACTCTTTTGTCCATTTTAAATCCTGCTATGCTGTCTTTGTCTTGCAGACACAGACGGCGCTCAGTAGAAAGCTCCGGACTGTCTATATTGTTCAGGAGGATGTGCATTCAATGTCACACAGACACATCTATAGGGAACTCTCAAATCTCTCAATTGCATTGCCAATGAGCGTCTGCGTTCAGACGGAGTCAAGAATGGAACGACACTCAACTAGGCAATCGGAAGATAAGGAGGAATCGATAGGAATGGAGAAACAAAAAGGAGATGCTTCCAATTTCCTGGGTGTGTGTACGGAGTTGAAAACATCCTGGCTCTCTGGGCCTTCCTTCTGTGGCTCAAAATAGGAAAGAGAGCAGGACAAAGGCTGGGAATAACAATTTCCTGTTTGATTTACAGTTAGTGTATGCAGCACAGGTTCATTGTGGCAGGGACAAAATGGACCTTTGCTGGTGGAATGATGAGGTTTACGTGCTCTACTGTGAAAAATGGGTTGAGTCAGCGCTCCACACAATGCCCCGGGAATGTCGCAATCAAGTCTAACAACCCGCTTGTTGCTTCCGGTAAAAGCTGCAACCTCCACACGCAGCTCAGGGGCAGACATGCGTTGCTTGAGAGCTCCCTGCAGAATTCCCGAGGCGAGGATCAACAAAATGATGAAGGAAACACAGATTCAGAGGAAGATTCTTCTACATTAACCTCGACCTTCTAGTGTAAATAGGAGCATTATCAGTTAAATGTGTCATCGTGAAGAAAGCTCCAAAAGAGTAACAACCCGAATCCAAGATGCCCGGTTATGAGAAAGATTCGCTCCCTTACAGATTTGTGGGAATTTCCAAAGGATGATTTACTTTGTTCAGAGAACAAAATGATCCAGACACATGTGGAGATAACATCTGGATCCAGTGTTAGTGACAACAGTAATGAGTCTCTGATGTCCCCGCTGAGGGAACCTTGTCTCACCATTCTTTACAGAATTGTTATAATATCATCACAATGAAGGGTTTTCCAGCAGGGATGGCCTTAAGGTCAAAGGTCAGACATTGTCATTCAGGATGTTCTGCTGGAGAGCAGGATTCATGGTTCCCTTGGTTACAGCAGGCGGTCCTGAAGCAGCAGAGCAGACCAGACCATCACACCACCACCGCCATGTCTGACTGTTGCTATGATGTTTTAGCGTTAGTTTGACTCCAGATGAAACCGGATGCACCTTCCAGAACATCTCATCGCTCAACAGGATATTAACCCAGAAGACTTTGAGATTTGAAAGACGTTGTTTTCTGGTAAAAGTGAGACAGGTCTTTGTGTTGATCTTGGGCAGCAAAGGGGTTTAAGCCTTTATGATATTTTGGCCCATTTGGGCCCAAACCCAAAGTTTGGAGAAACCACAAAAGTTTCTGGTTCTTTCAGAACGGGGCCGGAAGTGCTGCTTTTTGAGATCTTTTAGCATGTTCTATTGAAGCAATTTCTTAATTCTATAAATTTTATAAATAATGTGTTTAATCACAGTTAAAGGGGCATTATGTAAGAATGACATCCTGTGGTCATAGTTGGGTACTGCAGTCCATTTTCCAAACAAATAGGTCACTTTCACTCACTTTCACCGTTTGGTGAGTTTCATGGCTGTTGCCATTCGTGGATCAGCACCAGAAGATTCTAGAGGACGAGTGAAGACGAGTCATACACAGTACGTTGATGAGTAAATGAATACATTTCACTGTAATATCGAACTATTGGTAACTGAAAAAGTTGTTTGCGATTCCTTTTAGAGCCAAATATTTGTTTCTTTTTTACCATTATCATTGTTAGCGCAACGTTAGCCTCTAGCCTTCCTTACCTGATATTAGAGTAAAACAAAAAGATGTTGTGGCTTCTTAACGGTACAAGAAATAACTTCTAGGTCACTCCTGTTTGGCAGCTTCAGATCTTCACAAACGCTGCTGCGTTTTGCTGGCTGTTAACCCTAACCCTAACCCTTACAAATGCCAGTGCTGTAGCGTCAGCAGGACGTAGTCTTGGCAACGGTGCAGGCTGAAAGCTCGCCGTAAGCAGTAACTACGTCTTTAGCTATTTTGAAAGAAAACAAAATGACCCCCCCCCTCCCCCGTTTCAGTGTAACCTTCTTTCCAACGATTGAGACATTAGACTGTTTAGTGGTTATTTCACTGTAGAATTCTTATTATTGGGCTTTTAATAGTGAATCTTTTGTTTACAAATCCGAAACATCAAAGTACCAAAAAAACTAAAACCAGAGAACAAATATTTAGCCTCAGCCCTGCAGAGCTGTAGGTGGACAACAATGGCAAATCTTCCCATGGACAATCTGAATCTGGTCTGCTCAGCCTCCAGCTTTTTTCAGCCGTTGTGTAAGAAGCAAAACAAGCACCAAGTCTGCCTTTGTAAATCTGCCTGCTCACGCACGCACTCACTCACTCACTCACTCACTCACTCACTCACTCACTCACTCACTCACTCACCCACTCACTCACTCACTCACTCACTCATTCACTCACTCATTCACTCACTCACTCCTTCCTTCACTCACCCCCTCACTTCCTCATTCACTCCCTCACTTACTCCTTACTTCACTCACCCCCTCACTTCCTCATTCACTCCCTCACTTACTCCTTACTTCACTCACCCCCTCACTTCCTCATTCACTCCCTCCCTCACTCACTCACTCACTCACTCACTCCTTCCATCCTTCACTCACCCTCCTCACTTCCTCATTCACTCCCTCCCTCACTCACTCACTCACTCACTCACTCCTTCCATCCTTCACTCACCCTCCTCACTCACTCATTCACTCACTCATTCACTCACTCACTCCTTCCTTCACTCACCCCCTCACTTCCTCATTCACTCCCTCACTTACTCCTTACTTCACTCACCCCCTCACTTCCTCATTCACTCCCTCCCTCACTCACTCACTCACTCACTCACTCACTCACTCCTTCCATCCTTCACTCACCCTCCTCACTTCCTCACTCACTCACTAACTCCTTCCTTCACTCACCCCCTCATTTCCTCATTCACTCTCTCACTCACTCCTTCCTTCGCTCACTCACTTCCTCATTTACTCCCTCATCCCTCCTCATTTCCTCTCTCCTTATTCATTCACTCACTCACTCCCTACTCACTCACTCACTCACTCACTCATTCAGTCACTCACTCACTCCTTCCTTGACTCACCCCTTCACTTCCTCATTCACTCCCTCATCCCTCCTCCCTCCTTATTCATTCACTCTCTCCCTCCCTCCTCACTCAACTCGCTCCCTCCCTCTTCCCTTCTCCCACCTCCCTCATCCCTCCTCACTCCCTCACTCATTCACTCCCTCCCTCGTTTGCTTGCTTGCTGAAACACAAGGGTACCATTAGCCGTGCCGGGCCTGAGAGGAATCCTATCGGTAGAACAGGATTGTTCCGTCAGCACTTCCTGTAAATTTGACCACATCAACAGTGACTGAACGCAGTTAACCGGCTCACCTTAAACTCTTCAAGCGAGGAGTAAATTTTGCCCCGAAACTCGCAGTGGTTTTTCTTCTCCCTGCACAGCGGGCAGCACTGGCTGGTGTCCACTTTGATGCAGCGAGGGTGGACCTTGGGACATTCGGGCTGGTTGCACAGAGGGCCTTCATCCGTGCAAAGGCATGGGCACGTTGAAGGGCCCGGGGTAAACTCCTCACCAATGGCAAACACAAAGCCGCTCTCATCCATGCAGCCTTTCCCTCTGTAGTCTGGGTAAGCGTACTCGTCAATGGCGTCCAGAGACAGAATGACTTCACTGGTGGGCTCCTCGTCTTTTTGGTTCAGAGTGTCCCGCTCACCTTTCTGCTCCTGGGATTTCCCACCTTTGGCTCCTCGTGCCAACGAGATGAAGTCTGGCTTTGCCAGACTCAAAGCTGTCCTGTTCACTTCCTGTAGCTGCAGCTGAGCGGCGTATTCCAGAGGGTTCTCGGGGTTCTGCTGGTCCTGCTGGTCGTCCTCCCTGACTTGGGTCAACACTCTGGCAAGACCATCCTGGCTCACTTGAATGGTCGCAATCGGATTACACAGGGTGCTGCTGCTCGTCAGGAATGTGAGAACAAAGAGAAGTTCTGCTGTCATGGTAACGGAGTGTGGCATCTCTTCCCACCACCAGCAAGGTGGGAAAACACCTTGGCTCACATAACACACTTCACATCTCAGGTGTCAGCCAGTCCATCTGGAAAGATAAAATTAAACTGGGGTTATGCACTCTCTGATTTTCTCACTTTTTATCTGGAGTCTGGGTTTGGCCTCTGGAACAGAACTTCAGAGGTCCGCCTAGTCGTGTCACGTAAACAACCTGCTGAGTGTAATATAAGCGTGTAGCACCAGTGAACTGGATCATCGGGGAAAGCAGCAGTCTCAGGGCTGTGTCAGGAAATCAATAGTGCTTGATACTGTAACACTTCCCTGCATCAATCAGTTCCCGTGGTGATGGAGGAAGAGGCAAACAGCCAATAAGGGACCGGAGTCTGAGACTGTGAGGCATCGAGGACGGAAAAATAAAACTTAAAACTGAAACGGAAACAGAAAAATAAAGCAGTGTGAGACGTTTTAACTACAGATGAAAGAAGAACGAAAGTAGCAGAAATCTTTTCAAAATAAAGCAAATCTGGATCTGCTTTTGCAAAAATAATTTATATTATTTATTCAATTCAATTCAAACTTTATTTCAGACAAGGGATATGTCCATCACAAGAATATTTATTTAATATATTTATTTATAAATAAAAAGGAGCGGATGAGTCCTTACAAATTACAAAAAAAAAAAACGTACGGATGTGTTTATACTCAGACATGAGAAATTAGTTATTAAATAACTCAACTGGTCAGGGTGACCTGAGGGTGTGTTCCAACTATAGGGGGTCACACTCCTCAGCCTCCCTGGAAAGGTCTACTCCAAGGTACTGGAGAGGAGGGTCCGATCGATAGTTGAATCTCAGATAGAGGAGGAGCAATGTGGTTTTCGTCCTGGCCGTGGAACTGTGGACCAGCTCTATACCCTTGCAAGGGTGATGGAGGGGGCATGGGAGTTTGCCCAACCAATCCACATGTGCTTTGTGGATTTGGAGAAGGCTTATGACCGTGTCCCCAGGGACACCCTGTGGGGGACGCACCAGGATTATGGGGTGGGTGGCTTTCTGTTAAGGGCCATTCAGTCCCTTTACCAGAGGAGCGTGAGTTTGGTCCGCATAGCCGGTAGTAAGTCGGACCTGATCCCAGTGAGGGTTGGACTCCGCCAGGGCTGCCCTTTGTCACCGGTTCTGTTCATCACTTTTATGGACAGAATTTCTAGGCGCAGCCGTGGTGTGGAGTGTGTCGAGTTTGGTGGCAGGAGAATCTCGTCTCTGCTTTTTGCGGATGATGTGGTCCTCCTAGCTTCATCCAGCTCTGACCTTCAGCTCTTGCTGGGTAGGTTCGCGGCCGAATGTGAAGCGGCTGGGATGAGGATCAGCACCTCCAAATCTGAGACCATGGTTCTCGACCGGAAAAGGGTGGCTTGCCACCTCCGGGTCGGGGGAGAGGTCCTACCTCAAGTGGAGGAGTTTAAGTATCTCGGGGTCTTGTTCACGAGTGAGGGTAGGAGGGATCGGGAGATCGACAGGCGGATTGGTTCGGCGTCTGCAGTGATGCGGACGATGAGCCGATCTGTCGTGGGGAAGAGGGAGCTGAGCCAGAAAGCCAGGCTCTCGATTTACCGGTCGATCTACGTCCCAATCCTCACCTATGGTCATGAGCTTTGGGTAATGACCGAAAGAACGAGATCGCGGATACAAGCGGCCGAAATGAGTTTCCTCCGTAGGGTGGCCGGGCTCAGCCTTAGAGATAGGGTGAGGAGCTCGGACATTCGGGAGGGACTCGGAGTAGAACCGCTGCTCCTCCGGATCGAAAGGAGCCAGTTGAGGTGGTTTGGGCATCTGGTCAGGATGCCTCCTGGACGCCTCCCCGGGGAGGTGTTTCGGGCATGTCCTGCCGGCAGAAGGCCCCCGGGTCGACCCAGGACACGTTGGAGAGGTTACATCTCCAATCTGGTCCGGGAACGCCTTGGGGTCCTGCCGGAGGAGCTGGTGGACAAGGCTGGGGAGAGGACGGCCTGGAGCTCCCTAATTGGGATGCTGCCCTCGCGACCCGGACCCGGATAAGCGGAGGAAGACGAAGACGAAGACGAATAACTCAACTGATCTGTTTATTCAGTAGGACCTTTAAATGTTGACGTGCCATTATAAATAAATCAGATTATTTTTATTCGATCTACGTTCCCACCCTCACCTATGGTCACGAGCTTTGGGTAGTGACCGACAGAAGTGGATGGTGGCTGAAATGAGTTTTCTCTGCAGAGTGTCTGGGCTCTCCCTTGGAGATAGGGTGCGAAGCTCGGTCATCCGGGAGGGGCTCAGAGTAGATCCGCTGCTCCTCCGCGTCGAGAGGAGCCAGTTTAGGTGGCTCGGGCATCTGGTCAGGATGCTTCCTGGACGCCTCCCTGGTGAGGTTTTCCAGGCACATCCAACTGGGCTGAGACCTAAAAGAAGACCCAGGACACGGTGGAGGACTATGTCTCTCACCTGGCCAGGGAACGCCTTGGGATTCCCCCGCAGGAGCTGGCCCAAGTGGCTGGCGAGAGGGAAGTTTGGGCCTCTGGTTAGGCTGTTGCCCCCGCGACCCGACCCCGGATAAGCTGATGGATGGATGTAATTCTTATTTTGATTTTGATTAAAGATTCACATTTAACATAAGCTATTTAACTGACTTAAAAAACAGTTGCTAACAAATTTTTTGGCATTTTGTTTTGCAGCCATGCTTTTATTTTGGTCAGCTTGGTGCTTTTATTTGACTCCACAGAGAGTTTTCCCCTCGGGAGAGGCAACAAATGTGTTTCCAACTCAGAGTAACCCTAACCTACATTAAATAGTTTCAATTGACATCACCATAATTTTTATTATTATTATGACTTTTTCTATAAACAACCTTTGTAGGGTTGTTTGTAGATCTTCTCGGTTGTAGAAGAGTCACGCTGACGGACCTCAGAACCTTCTGAAACTTTAACTTTTCATAAACTAATAAGCAACATAAGCAAGAATGGACAGCGCAGCAGCAAGTTTATTTCTGTTTGACCGAAGGAACTCTAATGCCTCTCTGGTAGCTTGAAGCAACTTATTTTGATATTCATGAATTCTGTTGCATTCTGCAGACAAAACAATAACATTGCTAACACAGCGGTGCGATTTGAGTGGTGTTTTTTTTCCTGAAATGCTGCGTTTGAAGCGGAATCCTCTGAGCAGCTGTACAACGAAGAGGCGGCAGAACGAGGTGCATACTGATAGCTGCTGCAGCTGACAGAGGCAGGGAAAGCTGGGGCCGAGCCTCATTAGTAAATAGGATCTCATTTGTCTTTTCTCGGCCTCACCTCTCCACCCTAACAGCTGTTACTCTGTCACTCTGAAGCTGCAGCGTGTGCTGTTGTTGTTGGGCTCTCTGTCAGAAACGAGCTCTGGGTGGCCTTCAGGCTGGCTGGCACCAGGATGTGGGCCGGCTGCAGCACCGCCACATGTTAAAGGACATGGCTGATCGGAGGTCATTTGTTCCTCGCTGAGGGTGTCCATGTCATCGTGCATCCTTGTTTACAGTAGCTTGTTGTGTCACTAATTGGTGTCAAATTGTCCCCAGAGTGAACGCATTAGTGTCCTGGCTCGGCTCGGTAACTCGTTATTGTTGTCGTTTGAAGATGTTTTGCTTTTATCCAACAGGATCCCTTTCGCCCTCGTTTCAAGCTACCGGTTTTGTGCGTGGAGAATAAAAAGTTGTTTTTTGCATTTTATAACTTAAAATTAAACATAAAATCCAAAAGAGTGCGCCTCACACCACTGAGCCAGTCACGGCTGTCCCATAATCAGAAACAAGCTCCTCTGTGGGGCGCAGATTAGAAAGTTATACGTTCAGAGTTTACAGCTGTATTCGACCACAGATTCAAAAACTAATGTTAAAGAGCAAGTCACCCCCAAATCAACTATTTTTTTCTGATAAACTAAATAAATGTGTGTCTAATCGTGCTGCAGACACGTGTAGTCAATAGTTTTGCACTTTAGTGCATTTTAGTTAAAATTTAAATATTCTGCCTAAAACTGTCAGTGTCGTGCCGTTGTCAGGTAAAAACTCAGCACTGCATTTGAATTTAAATCTGCCGTCGCTATTGGCTAAGAGGTATGCTATGATGTAAGCTGGGACATTATGATGTCACAATGTCGTGGGAGTGAAGTACGCTTCTTGTTAGGGGGTGACTTGCTCTTTAAAAATATCAAATACATCAAAATTACAATGGAATCTAAACAAATGCTTAAAATTAAAAAAAATATTTATTACAAAATCTAAATGTATACATTTTTATATCAAACCCAAATATAGAAAGTCAAACTACAATATATTCAAAGCTAATGTTCAAAATAAGAATGTTCATAATTTAGGGACAAAAAAGTGTTGCAATTCATCTTTAAGATTTCATGTAGGAAAAGGTCATGTGTTTTAAAAAAAAGTCATTCCTATACACCGAGTTATTTTTATCTTAATTTGAAGGTGTAGACTTGTGTCGCAAGGCATTATGGGTAGCAGAAGGCTTTTGTCATGAGAGAAGAAATGTTTCTGTAAGAGAAGACCTGCCTTTCAATGATTAACCTCATTTTTGTGTCATGAATCTTATCTACACCTTGGAACGCATTAACTAAGTTTATAGAACGTTCTGGATAACCTTGTTTTCAGGTGTAACCGTTTTTGAGTATGTTGAAACCAGCATTTAGCCTTATCCCAGCAGCTGATTTAGCTTAAAGTACTGCACATTTACATAGCAATGATGCTAACGGTCCGATTAACATTTAAAAAGACTTAGAAAACGATAGTTATTATCAACAACGCTAAAGTTAACATGTTGACGTTCCAGTTGTATTTGTTGCTTTTATTAACGCGATGAGCTAATTATTTGTTTCTTGTTTTCACTCGTCCTTTTCACCGAGCTTCGAGTCATGTTTGTAGTGACTTGTAAACTGACAAGTGGATTATTAAAGGAGCAAGACGCTGAGCTTCCTGGCTCACAAAAACCCAGTTTGGCTTGCTGTTGAACTGCGTTAACATACACAGAGTGTCCAACACGTAGCGATAACAGTACATGTACACTAAAGGATTATCAGG